AATTACACTTCCTTGACCTAGGTTTCAAACAAAAAGAACACGAAATAATCTTATTGCTAAAATGAATGTATGAAGGCCATTTCCCTTTTGTTTCGCCAACTATCTGTTGACTCCAGCTCCAATCTATGTTTTACCCACAAAATTTTCATGGGAGCCTTGGACTTCAGTCCTTGGATAACAGGCCATTTATTGATTCATGATGTGCATGAGCAGCATCACTGAAGGGCGTTTACAAAAGCCATCAAAGAACTCTCTGAGGGATACTTGATTGGCTGAGCTGAGTGTTCAGGGAAGAAAAGAATTGTGGGGAAGCTTTGAAGCTGCAATTCCGCCCGCCTTAGCATACTCCTTTTGCTCGCCATCCGCTCTAAATTTACCGCAGAATGAAGCAACTTCATCCCTTTCACTCATGTGTCCGAGCCTATGATGCCATTGCTCTGTATTAAGAGCAGTTTCAACAACTGCTACGGTATCCCTACAATTACAACTAATGTAGAGGGTTCCAATCTTACTCCCCCGAGCAACAACCATGGCCCCCTTTGTGACTTTCCATCCTCCACAATTGAAGGTTACATGATGTCCTCCTCATCAAGTTGCCCCACTGAAATAAAATTGCCCATCAATTTGGGCACATGTCTCACCTTGTCGATCTTCCACACAGACCCATCAGGTGTTTTCAACCTGACATCTCCCATACCAACAATGTCTAGAAATCCACCATCAGCAAGAGAAACCTTACCATAATTTCCGGCAACATAATTCTCCAGGACATCACGATGGGCCGTAAAGTGGAACGATGCTCCTGAATCAATCACCCAACGATCACAAGAACTATCAAGATACAAGAGTAAGGCATCCTGTTCGTCAACAGTGGCTGCATTAGCGGCGTCATTTTTCATGATATTTCCCTTGTGGAGGCCACACTCCCTAGCTTTGGCATCCTCCCACCACCACCTTCCTTCTCTCTCGTGTTGTCCGGGTAGAACCGGTCTCGTGCATGGCTCACAGCCAATTAATGAGATGTACCCCTGCGAATGCAATGAGTTCACAGTTACATCCATGGTGCGAAGAAAGTTCCATATGCCAACGCCACTGACATTTGCCACAAGGTTCCAGTTCACCAAGCTGCCAATTCCACCATCCAAGCCTTCAAATACCGGGTCTACTTGGACAACAGGAATTTCAGACCTAGTTCCTGGAGATTGGTCCTTCCTTTGACCAGTGATCCAGGCTCTCGGCCGCTTCAGGGCCCTCCGGAGGGGCCTCACCTTCCTCACCCGGCAGCATTCTTGGTGCCCGTCCTCACAAAATGAGAAGAGACCCTTGCTCCGCACTAATGCCTGAACTTCCACAGCATCAGGAAACATGTATTCAATGCGTATGCCATATTGCTTCTCAACTGCATCAAAAAATCGATACGTTTCCGGGTTCAATCTCCCAGTGTCCAGGCTGAACACCCTAAAGGGACGACCTGTTAAATGAGCATACTCTATCAAAGCAACATCTTCAGCTCCACTGCACAAGAATACATATGCGTTAATAATCAATCACGTAGCCGATGATTGTTCTTTGATGGCATTAAATAAAGTAGGATACATTAAAATAACTATAGTTAGGCAGATTTAGTGGAATTCATGTAATGTTGGAAAGTTTCTGCTTTAAAGGGAGGTTAAATCATATAATACTAATTTGTAACCGTAAAAGTACAATCATTTCAGATTACTGTGTTTCAGTCTCAGACAAACCATACCAATGTAAATAAATTACGCAAAACAGGGTATCAGTTGAAATTCGGAGTGGA